GTCTAAATTCCCAACGTCCTAATCACCTTCCGAATACAGCACGACACATATATTGCTAGCGCGCTCTCAGCGCTCCGTCGGCCGCTCACGCACACGAGCGCTTCGGTCGCGCATCTTCGGTTCCGTCCCCCATCCTCTGTCCATCCATTCCATGTCCGTTTGGTTCGTCGGTGCGTATTCCTATCTGTTTTCTCATGTTCTGACATATCTCCGGTGCTTGCACATATATTCTGTATGTTAGACCCTTATTACATGTTATCACGTATTCACTTCGCTTCTCGGTTCGCTTTAGCGCTTGACAGTGCTTAAATGCTTCATAGTTAGAATATATATATCCGCATCTTGTTGTAAAAATGGCATCTTTCTTCCCGCACATCATTGGACTTTAAGTCTAATTCTCCGCTATAGCCAAACACTATCAGAATATCTAAGAATACTCGAGCGCTAGTCATCGTGCCCTTCTAGAACCTCTGTTACTTGTCCTCCAGCTCATTAAAAGAGTCGCTCCGCTCCACCCACACGCGCGCCATCGCACCTTGTCGCTCGATAAGTGCTTATTAGCGCTTCCGCACGTTCGCGCTTCGCTCATTGTCGCGTGCCTTACCAGGCTTGACTAAGCGCCCGGTTCAGTGTTTCCCTCCAATTATACACTCACCTTCTCAGTAGCAATCCCCTTGGGCCAACATTAGCTCACGCACAGAGGACCATCTGAGTTTATCTCATACTACCTATTTACCTACCCTTTACATTCCTCATCTACAGCGGCTGCCCCATTCCAGTAAGTTTTCAAGATTGGGTTTCTTCTTGAATAATGCTTTGTATGGCACCATGCCATTCAGTGCCTGGGTGGCCATTCTATTTTTCAGCCAAGTCACATGCGTAATGGCCTCCCCCCACAGAAACTTGGGCAATCCGCTGGTGTGGAGGAGCGCATGCGTGCGCTCAACGAGCATACAATTCTGGTGTTTGGCTAAGCTGTTATGCTCTGGGGTGTCCTGCACAGTAAGTTTTCTCTCGGTGCCTTTGCTCCACAGATGCCGTGTGAACTGATCTCTGGTGAATTCTCCCCCTCGATCTGAATGCAGCCTCTTGATCTTGGCATCAAACCGCGTGTTTGCCCAAGACTCGAACACTTTGTATGCGTCAAATGTTTTGTCCTTCGTTCATAAGAGGTGCAGGTGTGTGAGTCGAGTATGATCATCAGTGAATGACACGAAATACTCTTTGTGTCCAGGTGTTTGCACTGGAGAAGGTCCCCAAAGGTCCGTATGGATTTTGTCACCAAAGTTCTCTTGACGTGTGGGATCACGAACTCTGCTGATAGGCTTATGTGTTGCTTTCACATATTCACAGGACTCGCAACTGTCCATCGTCTTTTCGGCTGCATAAAGATTTATTCCGGTGATCACGCCATCACGAATCATTTGTGCGATAGTACTTGGCACCATGTGGCCTAGATGCACGTGAATGTCCTGCATGGTCAGTGTCTCTTTCACACTTGCTGCTCCAGCGAACAGTTTCTTTGGGCTCTTGATGCAGTACAGGCCCTTATTGACCGGTATTTGGCCCAATAGCTTCTTTTGTGTGTCGTAGATTTTGCACGCATCTTCCCGAAAGAGCGCTGGTTAGTCTGCTGATCAAGACCAACGTGAGCCCCATCTTTGGTGTGTACAGCACATCCTTTAGCAGTATTCGTGTCTTAGACTGACCGTTTGGCAGGGTGATTTGAATGTTTCCCTTGCCTGTGGCCTCAAAGGTGTGTTGGTCTGCTGTTGTTATAGGCTTCAGCGTAATACTAATGAAGTCCTGAAACAGATCTCGACAGGACAACATATGTCTTGATGCTCCAGAGTCGAATAGCTCTGTTTTTGATTCACGCATGGAGTTTGAGCCGGACACTGTTGCGTATGTATGTGTTGTTTGCTCTGCCATTTGGCTTGTGTCATGCGCTAACCAAACTCCTTCAGGTTTGTCATCCTTGTCTTTTTCCTTTGCGCTTGCAGCTGTTTCACCTCGTCTGTCTTTGCCCTTGGCGTCGGACCTTTCCTTTCCTTTTCCTCCAGCTGATCCTCCTCCCCCAGGTCCACGACAATCTCGTTGCATGTGGCCATACTTGCCACAGTTGTGGCAGTTCCCCTTGATCTTACGAGTTGTTTGGTTTGTGTTCACATTATATGCTGTGTCTTCTGCTGACGACCCGCTTTTCTTTGTCTTTGAAGATCTTCAGTCATACTCGTCAACGACTGTTGACATCAGTGTGTCGGCAGTGAGTATCACACTTGACACTTTAGCAGAGGCCATTAATGCGGATAGGTGGGGATTGTAGGATGCCGGGAGTGAGCTCATTATGATGGCTGTGAAGCTCTCATCTGTTGGCACGTGGCCCAACGAAGACAGCTGCTCTTTGATGGTGCGCAGTTTGTCGAAATGCTCTCTGAAATTTCCTTTTTCAGCGCACTTCTGGTCTTGGAGCTTTTGCAATAGCTCCACAGACACTATGTGCAAGCGCTGCTCGAACAAGTTTGAAAGGTGCGTAAAGATCTCCTTTGCTGTGTCTAAGTTTTTAATTTGAATAAACAGAGAGTCAGGAATTGTCCCTGCTATCTGTTGCTTCATTATGGCCTGGCCCATTGTCTTCTTAGGTAGATGATCTATAGATAAACCACTACAAATTAAATATCTCCATGGTCAGCAATTCAGACAAATACCAATGACTGATAACATGGTTGTTTGTGGGTGGCTGTTTACACTTCCCCAAGCTATGTTCAGATGAAAGTACTTCTGATGAGGTCAGTAACAATACCAGGTGATCCAACAGTATGGACACAATAAACAGAACATGGTCAACCCAACAGTATGGTGATGACAAAAAGAAAAAGAATGATAAGAGAAATCCTTCCTTCAGTACTAATATTTTTGCAACAAACTTACTACAGAAAGTCATGCGAAGTTATAACAATCACCCCCTCAGCATAAACAGGTAGAATCAAAGGTCAGGACTAATCAATGCTCAGTAGAACTCTTAGCTCACTATTGAACCTGCTGCCAAGGAACTCATGATGAGTATTAAACAGAATCAGGAATGGACGTCCTTGGCTTTCAGTACCAAGTCCCCTATTCAACAACTAAAGTCTAGCAGACAAAGAAAACCCTGGCTGCAGTATCGCTACTCAGATGAGTGAGGTCAAGCGTCACTATCAACTCCTGAAGTCTTCCCACTAAGCCTTTGCCTAGATGGATGTAAAGACAACATGAAGATCCTGGAACAAATTCAGAATAATAACACTAAGACATGAATGAACTGAAAAGAGACAAAAGAAAAAGAAGAAAAAGAAAGAGAGAAAAGAAAAGAAAGAAAACTAGAGGTTCACCAGTAGAAAATAAAAAGAAGAGTTTGCTCGCTGTTGAGCACAGTGAGCTCAAGATATTTCACAGTTATTGCTTATGAGCTAAAAGGTATTGCTGGATGTTGCTTGCAATGACCTCTCAGTTAGTTGCTTAACAGCTCTTGTCACTATTGTTGACACTGATCACACTTCACACTCAGTCTTATTCTTAAAAGTGAGGCTTCTCCCTCTCTATTTTTTTATTATGGCAAAAAATGGGGTCTTATATAGACAAAATATGGTGGCTGTGCTACTATTTCCCACATTCTAAGGGAAATGGGCTTAGTCAATAACTATTCACATGAGTCCTCTGTATTATATTTTGTGTCATCAATCTTTAGTCATCTCAAGATGTTGCTTTGTCATGACTTGGTTGAGATCATAGATCACCTGACTGTTAAAGTCATATGACTTAGTATCTTGTGACCAAGGGTCATGTGACTAGCTGATCATGCCATGCAAAAGAAGTATTCATAATTTGGTGGTGTTCCATTCTGATGTTACTTTGTTGACTGTAAGAATGACGCGAGCCATGTATTTAGGGTTTTAAGGAAGTTCTGACAGGGTAACTCATGCGAGAACTATTTTTCACAGTCACCTGACATGCGTGGGATTTAGTCTGAGTCATTGTTGTGAATGACTAAGCAAAGTTCATCGCGGAGTTAAATGTACAAAAATATTCAGCCTATCTGAGTTATGCCAAGAAATGAAATGAAAATATTGTCTGAACTGCATTCTGACTTCTGAGTTGAGGGAGATGGTTTTCATAATGGTTACTAGGGTATTAAGCTCGTGGGAGAGCATTTGTCATCCATGCACCGGACCAGTTTGGTGCAGGTCACCGTGCGCCATTCTTTCAGCTCGGTTTTATATGTGCTGACTTCTTTTACTTCGTCAGGTGTCGTTGGTGCCTATGATGGTCCTCTGTTAGGCAGCGTCTGTGGATCTATGGGCTTTGTCTTGGTGCCATCCAAATGGCCGAGCAGCCCTTGAGCGTCTATTGACCACTGAAGCCTTTCTTTATACATCATCCAATTCTCACTGTCGGCGACGAGCTTTGGGATGCGAAGGAAGTCCTCTCCCAACTTTCCGTTCGAGGTGGACATACTTGTGAGTCTTTTCTCCAAGTGCTAATTTGAAATTTTCACTGTAGGTGCGCAGGGCTCATAACCTGTAGCAATCACAGCTCAGTGACAGACGGAGTCAACTAAGTGTATTGGGTATACCTATAGCAATCACAGCTACAGAGGTAGTCAGTTACATAGTCCCACATATGAGAATGATACTAACCTCAGTGACAGATGGAGTCAACTGAGGAAAGTGAGCGAGTGCTAAGGGAACAGGAATACAAGTATGTGCTTAGATAAGTACATGGCACTGAGAACATCAATAGCGAGTGTTTGACATCAGGAAAAAACAAATTTTGTGGGAGCCCTGGTGAGAGCTATGTAGTACTACATAGCTACCATAGTTCTATGTACCTGATGTAGCTGTGACTCAGACTATATAGATATACAGTGGGCTACAGCAGACTACAGCAGGCTACAGCGGACACTTGGAGGCACAATAGTCAAATTAAAGTCTGTAGTCAATAGTAGCTGAGTAGCAACAAAACTAATCAATAGCGGACATGCAGAATGTATCAAGGTCAATAAAGGTATTTAAGTAAAAATCACTTGCGGACTCGTAGACATTTGCGCTAGTCCATCCACGGTCAACAGCTTGTCCCATCTTCAGAATAAGATGGCAAGGACGAGTGATTTCGTCGACGTGTATCACAGCTGCATTCCGGTGCAGCCGATGAGTTGAACACGACAATTGGTGCAGGCCAGATGAGCGGTCCGGCTCCCTGAGTGGTGTGAACCACTCAATGTAAGCTAAGGCTCGCGAGTAGGTCCCAAATTGACGCGGCAGAGTGAAAATAACGTGAACCTGTCCCACTCGCATACCTAGTAAAATATCAACATGAATTTTTTGACGGCTCAACTAATAGTTACTCACCTTCTAAAGTGCGCGGCTGAATGCCATTGCTTGTCAGGGCCATATCAAACTTAGCGGGAGATCCAGGCTTGCGTCCACGTCCAGGAAGCACTTCAGGCATGGCTCTAACATGCCACTGCCTCGGTGATTCACTGATGAGTGGATTAGGCGGAGCAGTGATTACTACCTGTCGAAAAACGTCAAAACGGTCTTGCAGACCAGGGGTAATGATAGCGTGCAGCATGTGGTTGTGCAGAAACAACTTAAGGGCTGGGAGGAACATGGACGCACCATGTGCAGTGACAAGGTGCTGAACCGAACGCTGAGGGTATGCAGGCGTCTTAGCGAGAAAGTGGACCGTTCGTTGCTCAGGGAGGATGGGAAGTGTATTGACAGGGACAGCATCTGGCCCTTCCATCTCTGAGTCCGAGTCTGAGTCATATCTGCGGTCACGAGTGAAATTGGTTGGTGCCGACTGAGACCATTCCAACAGCCAGTTGAGGTAGGAACCACGCAGGAAGACTGCCTCCTGGCGCTGGAGCCATAAGGCCATTTGTTCTTCATAGTCGTGCTTGTTACTGGCGTGATACACTTCTTTGGCAAAGTCGATGTGCAATCGTTCTGGAAGTTCGCTGTTAAAGCCGTCTGTAGCACCAAACAATAGGATAGACTGAACATAGTGAGAGAGAGCTGATGTAATTTGGGAATATTAAAATGCTCGTGAATATCAAGTTGCTGCAGGACGTCCTTGTTGGCATGAAATATCGCCAGAGCACTTTCCAGGCCATTGAGGGATTCAGTTGAGTGAACTCGAAGCTGAGCATAGTATGAAAAATCTAGAATTGCTTGCGCAACTACTAACACTTGGCTGGTAAGCAAACGAAAACAATCACGTCAGCACCAACCTCGTGCTTAGCAACAATTGAAGCTTACCTAGGGACAGCACCAGCAAGTAGCCCAACAAATACACGCTGCATCTCTTTGTGTTCTGTCCCCGTTGTAACGAGACAACAATAGCTGGATACTACACGAAGTAAGTAATCAGCAATATAAAAATGTTGTGGTCTTGCGTGGCCTAGTCTGCTATACTTGTAGACAAGTGCGTTTGACCCGAGGGGTTCGCTGTAAGGTATTAGAATAATCAGTGATACTAAAAGGGAGATAGTCCGAAGCGCAGGAAATAAAGTCCGAAAGGATAATTACAAGTCCGAAGGTAAAAACGTTGGGTCCGATGTTTTCGGGTTTCGGGTTAGTGGGTTTCGTCGGGTTACCTCGGATTAGTGTCAGGAATGTAATGAATGTCGAAGATAGTGAATGGCGGGTTACTGTCAGTGTTTTCAGAGTGTTTTGGATAATGAAAGGATGATATTGCAGAATTCAGCGAAGAACTACGAATATATAATGACCTCCTCCTACTCAGAGGTAGAAAGGTAAATAAGTAAGTAGGAGGCATGTAAAATATATAGTGTCTATGTAGAATTTCGGAGTGCTATAGGCGAAAGTAGTAGCGGTAATTTTCGGATCCGATGTCCTATGTAATAAGACATGTGGTACTGCGGACATGTAATAATGCGGTCTACAGTGTTAGCGGTGTGAAAACTGATAACTGCGCACCTAGTGGGGATAGATACTACAGGACAGGACATAGGGAGGACAAGTGCGCGGAAAAATATCGGGTCCGATGCGCGGGAAATGTCGGGTCCGTCGGGTTAGCGTCGGATTAGCGGATAAACATCAGATTGAGCGGATAAGTGTCGGATAACATTGGGAAGTAATTTGAGTGTTTGACATGCATTGTGAATTAGCTGAATATGTGCTCAGCGCGAGCCTGAGTGCTACACCGCATCGGTGAATCCAGTGGATCGCCTCTTTCATCCGCAGCAGCTACACATTTCGGACAGCGGTTTTCCTTGCAACATGCAACTAGACACTGCTCTGGAAAGTCCACTACATATGCGGCAAGGATCAGATACACTCAATGGATCAACGAATCAGCGCACACCATTTCGATGCCATCTTCACCTGCAGCAACAAGGGGTTGAAGGAGGAGGGACATGCAATGATGGAATAGTCGGTAGCTGGCGAGGGAGCGTTCATCAGGTGTAAAGCAGTCAAGCTTTCCTGAAGGTAGGTAACCAATCAGGACTGTCACTTGTGCTGACATTTGCCGCCATTTTTCTTTAGCAATGTTTCCAATAGAGAGGTACACAGGATATGCTGTTTTGTCGCCTCGGAATTGCGACAGACTCGTTTTGTCTGTTGCAAGAATAATTGGTGCAATGGTTGCTCCTTCCGGCACCTTTTTCTGGACAACACAGGTCAGTGCTTGTCATTTTCGATGTTTTTTTGATATGGTGCTTACTTGCATGTCACACCACCAATCTGCAGTCCACATATCGTCTATCACTTGGTGGAGTCCTGCAGAGTCCGTGTGTACACCATTTGATCCTTGAACAAAGGATTTCCAATCAAGTCTTTGATGCACTCTACGGGATTGCGCATCCACAGTTCAACATCTTCGTGCAATGGTTCGCCTTTTTCGTCTGTTCTATTTCCCTGAACACTAATCTTCTTACAGCTCCAGGCAGCTCCATGCGGGAGTTCATCAACCTTCTTGAGGAATGATTGGTTGTTGTGGAATGAAGCTTGCATTCAGTTTCATGTCTATCATGCTGGTCAGTACATTTTTTTCGGTGCTTGATGCCAAACTTACAATCGGTAACTTTAGAAATTCATCGGTTCGAGTCTGCCCAAGGCTTTTTACAAGCCACTCAGCGAGACCCCACTCTTCCCTGGCAGCTAAAGTCAGGCAGAGGCCATAAACACGAAAGGGTATGTACTCGTCACAAAATGGAGCCCACTCATCCTCACCCATGCCTTCCTTGTACTTCCGGTACCTTTCAAATTCAGTTTTCCCTTCCCGCAGTGCCCATCCACCATCAGAACATTGCTTGAAATAGTGCCCACCACCTCCCACTACCTCACCTTCATCCACTACCTCACCTTCGTCAGCAACATCCTCGACCGTCACACGCCAACTTTTTGGTGCCGGCGGATTAAGTTCATCAGCCTCGAAAGAGTTGGACCGTGAGCAGTGAAGTGGGGAAAATGAGTTGCCAGCATCGTGGTTCTCCATAGAAGGTGCGTTGTCTTCCAAGTCTTTTTCTTCAATTGTTAACTCCCATGCCCTTCTGCATTTAGGCCGGTTAGCTATGTGTCTCTTGATGCCCCCCCTCGTAGGGAACTCCTTGCCACAAAATGTACAGCAGTGCAACATAGTAGGTGAGTAGGTGAGTGTTTCGCCCTGGTCTTGTGTGACTTGTCTCATTGTATGCCCTTTTTTTTTCAATGGCCTGGTCTAGACTTAAACTGAGCGCAGTTACCGGGCGCCGCGCCACAACTAGATCTGAGCACCACACCACACCACACCACACAACCCTGATTGAGTTGGAAAGTACAGCAAGTCTTGGCTGGTTTTGTTGATTGGGAGGGGTGTGCTTATCTTGATCTTGCAACCAGACGTGCCCTCACAAAGTGCAAGAGGGACTTATCCCAGTCTTGCCACCAGATGCACCCTCACAAACCTACGGATTACAGCCTTGTTTAGACTTGATCGGTATGCCAAAGTTACGGCCTTGTTTAGACTCAATCCATGCGCCAAGTCGCAATCAGGTATAGTTTTTTTTTTTGAGGATGATCCATGAGGTGTACTTACCCTGGTCATTCTGTCTACAGTAAGATAGGCAGAGACCTGTGTACGTGCTCTTATTCTGATTGGTTTGAATAATACTTACATCTTGCCTAGTTCCCAACACACAACCTCCATTACAATCTTCCTCGTCTAGCGAGAGAACAAGATCGAGAGAGCCAATGACCAATTCTAGTATGTTAAATTCTCATCTCTGATACTAGCTAATTTGATGTGCTACGTTAGTTTGGAAATACCATGGGCGGCCAGAAGTACCTCTAAAAGCTGTGCCCATTTGGCTTCCTTGCACCATTTCACCTCCGCATCCCAGCGCTCAACGACGAGCCTTCGTATGCTCGCTTGTAAGATGCTAATAGTTGGGCCTGGTGCTACTTCTAACAGTTGCAGTTTTTTTGCTTGCTCGCAGGCCTTCACTTCTGCCTCCCAATGCTCCAGAATTAGGTTTTGTATGTAATTCTGGGAAGCTGTGATAGGGCCGGGTGTTTGACGAAACGGAGGGCGCAGGAACATGGGCTCTGCATCAGGCCTTTTGAGCTTGGGTCTGCAAGCCGGTGAGTATTTGAGTGTAACGTGGAATGGCAACTAACCTTTTGACGTCAATTTTCGTGTCTTCACAGCCAGCCTCAAATTTGCGACTAGCGATTTGTGACATCGGGCTGCAAGATTCGTCAGAGCGCAGTGAGTTTTGAAGCAAGCTCCATACCGTTTTTTTGACGAGTCGGGGGTATTCATAACAGTGAAAATAAATTGTGACGGTATGATCATACCTTTTTATCCTCCCTCTCGTTTGACACAGCTTTCTGCCCTTCATTCTACAAATCAACAATCAACGAACTATTAAGGTTCAATTGTGAGTTATTTGTATGTTTCACAGTGGTATAAATTGTGCTGACCTACTGTGTACTTTGACAAGACAACCATGGCACCTCGTAAGCCTACCTCCAAGCCAAAGCACGCCCCCTCACCACCTGCCGCGAAACAGCAGGTGCGCACTGCAAGTGGTCAAGAGCGGCAACCAACTGAAAAAGAGAACTACCATCGTAAGTACCAGCATATTATGTTCCACTCACTCACCATCTTGTTCTACAGTCAGCGAATCCCAACATGTTGTCCATCGCCAAGAAATCAAGGAAACCCGGACGGCAAAACAGAAGAAGAAGGCCTTAAAGGTTGCCTACCAAGGGCATCCTGACGTCTTCGAGAAAGAGCCGTCAGAGCTCCTTAGCGATATGGACAGGCAAGAAGACACAATGGTACGAGCTTTTGTTTTCTTTCCTAATCTTAAATCAGCTGCTGACATTTTTTTTTCAGTTCTCTGATCACAGTGTTGATACAAGGTTGTCCAACACTGATAGCCTGACATTCAGTACAGGGAAAATCCCTCTGAGGTTGCGCAACCCATCCATACCTACAACTAAAGGACCAAAAGGTATGTTTCTACTTTATATAACTACACTACTAACCCTCCATCAAATAGCGCCGCATAATGTTGACGAGTCAACAGACGACGATGACGACGACGCTGCCGACGATGACGACGATGATGATGACGAACAGTTGCCTGCAGCTCGAGGGACCAAGTGATCATTCGATGACATGTTGTATGAAGATACCGTGGTGCCAAAGGTCAAGAAAAACACTGACGGTTTGCGTCGACGCGTGAAAGCCAGCGACTTTGATGAAATCTCAAAAGAGATTCTCATAACTGCTTGCTCCGTTTATCGGTGTCTCATCGTCACACAGGCACCTTTTCCAGATTCCATTGCAGCTGAGACAAAACTGGCGAAAGAGGTCTGGCACGAGGCATGTCAACTCAAAGGTGTTGACGTCAAACTGACCCCTTCGGCAGTGAATATGGTGAGCACAGTATTTTTAGTGCATTCCTGGTCTTATTCATTCAAAGCTATTAAAACGCGCTTCACACGTGCAAGGTGAACTCAAGATGAAGATGCGTCCGCTCACGGCTTCATTTCACGGCTTCCGCTCAAGTAATTCTATGGAGGTGATAAGGTCAAACCGAGATCTCGCGGAGAGATTGAAAATTGGCTCGATCTTTGTTTTCAAGGTGAGTATTCGACGGTCTACATAACTTAGTGCTGACATTGAACAATAGGACCTGTCATCGAAGTCAGGCATCTACAAGACCGAGTTGCTTCAACAGGGTATCAATGGCATGTGGTTCTTGAACCGAAGTGACGAGGGTGTCATCTACCACAAATACTTCGACCCCATCCCTATCAAAACTATTGCGCTCGTGCTTACAGCTGTGAGCCATTTTTCAAATTCTTACTTTCAACTTGATGACACTGACAATATCTTATAGATAGAATGTTGTGTTGATGAGTGGTCGCAAGGCATCAAAGAGGACATCAAGTTCACATCTGCTAGTTATGGGGCCGTCTACAACCATCATTTCAGCTCACTGCAACACTTTGATGAGCGCACTGCACCTTACAAACTCCTCTCGAAAATTCGTATCAATCTGCATGATACAGCACAGTATGTTGGACTCTTATCTCACTGACTCTTCTAATGCTCGCGCTTCTCAGCTTCCATGCAGGTGTCGCATCACTCATTCCATTGTCGGCTACATCCCAGGCCCACATCGACGACACAGCATTTGAAGACACTATTCGAGAGTACCAGTGTGAGGGGAAGGATGCGGCAGTCGAGGATGAGGTCGAGGAGTATGAGTATCCTAGTAGCGAGGGTGGGGATGATGAATAGGGATGCAGTGAGTAAGACATTTGTATTATGCTAGTTTGTGTTTCAGGTGCTTGAATTTAATTGTTACTACAAGGTTCTTTGGTGTGCTATATAGCTGCTGGTAGTAATTTATAGCTGCGTGTAGTAGCACTCCAACAAACTACAGTAGTACCTCGTAGCTACTGGTAGTTACTATGGGACTCTATGGTGACTACATAGAGGGCACTTGACAACAGGGCTACTTGCGCTACCCTGACTATATAGTACTATGTAGTCACTTTGTTTTTTCCTGATGGAGCTCCAACAAGAGGACCTATACACTCACTTTGCCTGTGGAACTTGAAGGTAGGTGTTGTGTTGAAGAAGATGGAGGGGCATAGCATGCTATAGTAGGCAGGTTGTGTTCGATTCAGCAATTTTGCTGAATGCCGGATGAGCAGCGAGCAAGAGACCACCATGATCCTAGAATACATAGATTTGCTTAAATAGAAAGAACAAGATTAGAATTTAAAAACATTCATTGTGCACCTTAATTGTATGTAGCGCATTGCATGAACACCAGCAATGAAGCTTGAAGCTTCAAAGACAAGAGTGAGAGTCGAAGATGTGACATGGCGCCACTTCGCTCAAACATTTCAAACCACAAGTCACATGATACAAACAAATACATACAAATGTTGGACTTAGGATATTTCTTCACTCAAACTACAAGTCACATGATACAAACAAATATGCACAAATGTTGGACTTGGAATTTTGTTGCACACTCACAGTGATCAATTCATCAATGATCACACTATTCAGGTGTCAAGTTTCTCGATATCTGTAGATAGGCATAATTTTATGACCCTTAGGTAGTACTCTATAACTTGGCAATAATTACATGTATGTTATGAATGATATTGATATCTAGCTCTAATTTGTGATAGTTTATCTGACTTAGAAGAGTTAGATGTATTTTGTCTATTTATATCTAAGTTGACATGGGAGGTTTTCCCTGATGAATATAGACAGACAACCAAGGCTGTGAAGTTCGGACATGTTGCACACATTGTGCAGAAAGCACATTGTGTATCAATAATAGTAGCTGCACATGGGGAACATGCTATGCAAGCATACAAAAATTGTGCAAACTCTCATCATGATTATCAAATTAAACAAAAACATCGAGCATTGAACAGTGCATTAGAGTATGATATTGATGTCCCTCACATCACTGCCTGCATCACTCCCATCTACATGCCAATCAAATTCGCCCATACCAATCTTAGCCCATTGCTCCACCATTTCTTCAAGCTCTTCACGATGTTCCAGAATGTCGAGCAACTTGTCGAAGTTGGTCCTGCATCTATCAGCGGAGAGTTCAGGCACTTTGTTGGTGCCAGTTTTGCTGAACCCAGAAATAACACCCTTCATCTATTAAATCATCAGTGACAAAAATAAAATCAACTGTGTAGTGTACGACCACTGCCATGAAAATGAGGTCATTGACAGGGATTGTCTTGTGGAAGTCATCTGTGTTCTTCAGTGCTTTCTTGCTGTTGCTGTAGAAAAACTCAAAACAAACATCCTTGAGAGCCTGTGATACAAAATTCTTGAATTTGCCCTGCGAGAAAACAGTGAGTAGTGTTATTGACACGAGTCATCACCTACATTAGACGAGTCAGGGATTCGGAGGTAACCACTGGTCCTAAGCAGCTTGGTGGCAGTTGCAGCAATAGAATTCTTTATCTCCTCTGGTCACATTGTGGTGCCCTTCAGGAAGATATCATATGACAGTTTGGCAATAGAGACGACAACCTTTTCAAGCTCCATATGGAATGTGAAGAGATTGTTGCAGAGCTAATCAGCATGTCAGCGAGCACGTTCGCCATCAATAAATGGAAGACTTACCAACCGACACATCTGTGGGCTATATTCCAGAAAGTAGCCTTGCAATAAAATGTAAAATGACTGGAAGGAAGTGGCGGTACAAGGAGAATTTACCATTCTCAAACTTGAGCTTCTTCTGGTGGCATACCCACAATTTGGCATCTAGGACATCTTGCATGAGTTGCACGGCATCCTGGTGTTCTGGAATTGGATGAGTGAGAATAGCCTGCAATCACATCTGTAACTTTGCTGCTTGCAGAAAACCCAAGCTTGGAAGGGTTATCTTGGTTTATCTTGATGTTTCGTGTGCGGTGAGCACCAGCAGGTGTAGCGCTAGGAGAGTGTGAATGGCTAGGAGTAGTTGCATGGTCAGAATGAGTCTGTGATAGAGAGCGTCTATGGGAAGAATGTCTGTGGGAAGAGGGCTGTGTACCACTACCAGAGGAAGTGATTGGCTGAGACGGGGAGTGTTTGACCTGAGGGGTTAGCTATCTGGTATTAGTCCGAAAGTAGTGAAATGATAAGTGATCAAAAGTCTGAGCGCAGGAAACAAAGTCTGAAGGTATAATCACGAGTCCGATGTTTTCAGGTTAGTGGACTAGTGGGTTTCGGGTGCGGGTTCAGCAGATTACGGAAAATAGTGATAGTGAGTGTCAGGAAAGTGAGTGGTATGCGGAATATTGATAATGACAGGTATTTTGGATAGAAAGAGTGGTAATATTCACAATGTCAACTAAGAACTATGAAATATTGGGTTTGACCACAAAGCATTGGGGAATGGCTCCCCACTACTTGGATGATGAATAATGCTTGAGGTCAGTCCAATATATATGTAAGTATGTAGAAATGCGGAACCCGTAGGTGAAAGTAGTGGCAGAATATTTCGGGTCCAAAGTACATGTAAACATGTAATAACACTTGCTGCAATGTGAGTAATGTGCGAAATAATCAACTACGCACCTAGTGGGGCTAGCAAGACAGGACAGGACATGGAGAGGACAAGTGCATGGGAAAATATTGGGTCCGCTGCGGCCGAAACGTTGGGTCCGCTAGTCAAAGCATCGGATTGAGTGGGAAGTGATTATTGTGCAATGGGCATTTGACGTGGATCATGAAATAGCTGAATATGAGCCTAGTGCGAGCTCAAGTGCTACACCAGCATAGAGGTTATGCCCCAATACAAGCATTGGTGTGGAGACTTAGAGCAAGTGGAAGAATTATGTGAATGAGGTGGCAAGCGTCTACATTGGGAAGTGGCACTCAAATGGAAGATGCACCTGCAGATGGCACACGTTGATGAGATCCTGAGCAACCATTATGTTGTGACAGTGTTAAGACTGTGCACAAAGGGTAGGACTGATTCCGAGGGGCTTGGCTTCAGCTCGTGCGCTGTGCCCCTTACCTGAGTATGTGCCCTTAATTTCAGAATGTCGTCCAGAGAAAGTCCAAGGACATCCGAAGCATGGGAAAGTTCGGAAGGACTTTCCGGACGAGTGTGAGAAACTTCCAGATGAGTGCGGGAAAGTTCCGGAGGAACTTCCGGAAATTATAATGAGGTTTCATCCTGATATGGATATGTGTAATGGCTACTTAGGACTTGTCCTAAGTAGAAGCAAACAGAGGAAAGGCTGCAAGGACAAAGTCCGAAGCAGAGTAGGTCCAGAGGACCGTGGGAAAGTTCCAGAGGAACTTCTGGAAACTCGGAGGAGTGGAGGAGCAGAGGAGCAGAGGAGCAGAGCTCTGGCCTAGGGAATTCCTCCCTAGGCCTAAGGTGGATGTTTAGCAAGGAAGGAACTAGTTATGAGGACTTAGTGTGAAGGCTAGTGCGAGGATTAATATGATATTCAGACTAAGGAAATACAGGAGTATCTACAGGAGTGTATATACTGGAGGTAAGTCTGTGCAGATCAGTAAGCAGAGGGGTAAGGCTATGTACAAGCATGTGGAAATATATTAGTAAGTGAAACGGATCATAGGAAATGAACTCAGAGATGAAACTCATACAAGGATCAATAAGCAAAACGGAAACAGAGATAACCCAAGACCAGAGACAGGTGATTACCATAAGGGGATGGGTGCTGATTTAAGGTTTGGGTTTGGATATGAAGTATATGTTGGATCCGGAGATCCTGAGAGGTGGATGTGCGGAGGTGGATGTGCGGAGGTGGATGTACGGAGGTGCAGGGATCCAAACAGATAAAGTACTGGAGACATGGACAGGAGGTCCGGAGGTCCGGATGAGGCGTGGGAACATTGTCAGATGTAAGTCCGGAATGCGGGATATGACAGACGGGCATTGACAAGGATATCTCAAGTGGCTGTTACATCAAGATGGGCATTAGTGAGGAGACTTAGACCAAGTGGAAGTATGTGCACATTCATTTCCTGTCACCTTTGAAAGATACAATGGTGAAGGAGCCTTGTGTCATCCATTCTGTGCTTGATGACATTCTAGAACATTATAAGTCTCCTATACACACAATCAATGAGTGAATATGAGTGAATAAATCAGAGTACATTATCTTCCACATCCATAAGCTCGTCCTCCCAGTTGCGCTCTTGACCTAGATCTTCTCCATCCCCTCCATCCAAATCCCCCTCATTGTCGCCACCATCTTCAGATGGTGCATCTGAATGTTGACCAAAATCCCCGCTGTCATCTATATGTTGATCTATGCCACCTTGCTCGGCTCCATCCCTGTAACGAATACATTAAGAAGCTAGAGGCAAAAAAAGGCTAGCACTTGCATATCATTATGCTCATGGAGGTCAGCACCTTCATACAAGTGGTGCACAGACTCTCTATAATTGTCATCATTGTCATCATCATCATCTCATTCGTTCACCTCCTGTGCAGCCATTCTGCAACTACTTGACTGAGATGGTTTCTCGATACACTGTACATTGGTAGTAGATGTGGGTGCCTTGAACCTGAACCTGTCAGTAGAGCCACAAGTACGTAGCACTAGATGGGGAGAAATGTGGGCTGAGTAATTTCTCACATTGTTGCTGGACTTTTGAGATGATCGATTGTTGCTTGTAGTTGGAGGTGTTGCAGATGCAGGTTTTTATTTTGTAGAGTTTTTTGCAGCCAGAGGTTTTGCAGGAGCCTGACAAGGTCATAGTTCAAACATCATCAAAACAAAATAAACTTACACTTTTCTTCCCCTGATGTAGCTGTGCAGGAGCCATTGAGTTTTCTTCAGGATCACTGACATCAAGCTCAGGGTAATCATTTTGCCCTTTCCAACTCTTCACTGGTGCTGCTATCACTTCTCCAGCTTTTTGAAGCTGTTCTGCATGGCTGCTGTAGCACTTGGGCTGGCATTGGTTGTGTATCCTGCCAAACTCATAGGTATCTCACATTATACTCCTCAACACTTCTTTCACCTTCCAAGAGTTCCACACACTCATCTGAGTCATCCGAAGGTCATCCGTCTCCTTCCAAGGCCTGTATACACTTCCAATCCTCTGTACCATGTCCCATCTGTGTCTGTTTGACTTCGCTGGTGTGTTTTCAGTTGGTTTATCTGTTATTGATTATGTCTTAGGGACACATACATCGAAAAGCTTGATTAATACGTATAGCTGTGTGCCTCGTGCGCTATTACAGGCATATCTCTGTAGCGGCTCGCCTCGAGTCTTATTACATTTCGGATAGCTTATCTTGCTACTGTTCTCACCTATGCAGATTCCAGACTTTCACACTGTAGGATATAATCTGGCTTGCTAACTACTCGCACCTCACTTCACTTTCCTTGCTATGAGTCATAGTTTGTAGAGTCACTTTGGATAGTCATACTTCACGCAATCAATCTTTTGTTCATTCAGAATGATTGTTTGGCCTGACCACTGCCAAATTCGCATCTCGCTATCTCTTAGTTCTTCCGATAGACCTTGTTTAGTTGTACCTCGGTACTTCTGCAAGTCTTATACTTTGACATACTTTGACATACCCGCCGTATTCCTCTCTCAGAACCTTTCCTGTTCATCAGAAGCTTCGCGCAACCTCGGACCTTTGTTTCTTGACTTTGGACTACCTTCGCTCACATCGGACAAGTACCTTGGTACTTTGGGCGCATCTTTGGAACTCAGAACACTGTAGCACTCGGACTGGTGTTGGTCGCATATCCTGTCAATCTCATAGGTGCCTCTCATTATACTCCTTGACACTCCTCTTGCCTTCCGAGAGTTCCATACGCTCATCCAAGTCGTCTGAAGGTCGTCCGTCCCCTTCCAAGGCCTGTATACACTTCTGATCCTCCATACCATGTCCTGTCCGTGTCCGTTTGACTTTGCTGGTGTGTTTTCACTTGGTTTATCTGTTATTGATTATGTCTTAGGGACACATACATCGAAAAGATTGATTAATATGTATAGCTGCGCACCTCGTGCGCTATTACATGCATATCTCTGTAGTGGCTCACCATGAGTCTTATTACAATTTGGATAGGTTATCTCGCTACTAGTTTTGCCTACACAATTCCAGACTTTCACACTGTAGGATATAACCTGGCTCGCTAGATACTCGCACCTCACTTCACTTTCCTTGCTACGAGTCATAGTTTGTAGAGTCACTTCGAATAGTTGTACTTCGCACAATCGATCTTATTGTTCATTCAGAACGATTGTTTGGCCTGACTGCTGCCATTTTGCACTTCGCTATCTCTTAGTTTTTCTGATAGACTTTGTCTAGTCGTACTTCGGTACTTCTGCAAGTCTTATACTATGACATACTTCGACACATCCACTGTATTTCTCTCTCGGAACCTTTGCTGTTCATTGGAAGCTCTTTGGACACTTCGCGCAACCTTGGACTTTCATTTCTTAACGTCTGACCATCTTCGGACACCTCGGACGCACCTTCGGAAACACAGGACACACCTTAGGTATCTTTCCTTCTCTCACCCTTCAATCTTAACAAGACATCCCTTGCATTTTATATCAAGAGGTAGTTCTATAGGCAGTCTCTTTGGGATGAGCATTACACTCGCACATTGAGTTCTAAGGTAATACAATTTGTAACACCCACACAGAATCAACTCTTTACAACGCACTTTGGGTAACCTTCCCTTTTCTCATCTTTGATCTTAACAAGACATCCCTTGCATATTATATCAAGAGGTAGTTCTATAGGCAGTCTCTTTGGGACGAGCATTGCACTTGCACATTGAGTTCTAAGGTAACACTATTTGTAGCACCTACAACGAATCAACTCTTTACATTGTGTATTCTGCCAATTTCATAGGTGTCTCACATTATACTCCTCAACACTCCTCTTACCTTCCAAGAGTTCTGTGCGCTCATCCAAGTCATCTGAAGGTCGTCCGTCTCCTTCCGAGGCCTGTATACACTTCCAATCCTCTGTACCATGTCCCGTCTGTGTCCATTTGACTTCACTGGTGCGTTTTTGCTTTGATTATCTGTTATTGACTATGTCTTAGGGGCACATACATTGTTGGCCCATCAAAAGCTTGATCAATATGTATAGCTGTGCACCTCGTGCGCTATTACATGCATATCTTGTAGCAGCTTGCCTCAAGTCCTATTACATTTCAGATGCTTTGCACAACCTCAGACCTTTGTTTCTTGACTTTGGACCACCTTTGCTCGCATCGGACGAGTACTTCAGTACTTCAGACACATCTTCGGAACTCAGAACACTGACATGCACAAAACTTGTTTTGTACATGAACATGGCAAATGATTAGCTGTAATACCCTTCATAATAGCCCATGATGCTATCTAGAATTTTCTGTGTAGCACCCATATTTTATAAGCTGGTAGTGCCAGCTAAAGTGGCAAAACCCGCTACCTTGTCCTTTTTTTCTCACATGCCTACTAGGGGTTGGTGTTACCGACTATTTACCTTGCTCCGGCTTCCACCGAGTTTTCTTGGCCCCAATTTTATTTATGCAAACACCAATACTACTACACTCCATACTTAGAGATACAAGTACATTTATCGGAGAACTATGACTTAGTCTTTCGAACTGCTTGCTTCAGTCTCAGTAGTTAATGTTGTGGTGGACCGCACTCAGTCTCAGGATTGTTATGTGTTCCACGGTGGCTTGGAAAGTGTCATGGTCTACTTAATCTCTTTTGCATTCATGTTCATCCAGCAGGGTATCAAGCGGATGTCCGCTCCTAGACGATCAGTGATTGTTAGTATTCTGTTGAATCCCTGTTCAACGGGGAGAGGGCCTATGAAGTCCATTGCCACTGAATCCCCACGTTTCTCAGGTGTAGGGAGGGGATGTAAGGGTCCGGCGGGCCTTGTTATTTTGCTCTTGTTTCTCGCACATTCGGGACACGTGGGGATATAGCTGTCTTCGAGATCACGCCTCATGTTGGGCCAATAGAACGACTGTCTTAGTGTCGCATACAATTTGTCGGCACCGAAGTGTCCAAGGTTATCATGGGCTAGTCTGAATAGTGTCTCGTGTAGGTGGGTCACTCGTGGTATGACCATACGGTCATTGATATATAGTAATCCGTCGTTGTAGCCCTGGTAAGGAGTCTGTCAGTTGTGACAATCTAATGGCCATGGGTCCTTAGTGTAGCTGTCTTTGATGTTGTTCAGTAGCGAAGCATCTGGAATGATCGAGAGTATCAGTGCGATAGGGCTGGTATTGTTACCTGTGTTTGGAGGTAAGTTCCTTGTCTGTTGGATGTACGTCGGTTCGCTATCTGTTTCTGGTGGTAAGTGAGAAAGTGCATCAGCTACGACATTGTCCTCCCCGGGTATGTACTGTATTGTGAAGTCATATTGGGCAAAGAATTCCTGCCAGCGTGTTTGTCGGCGTGATGGCGCTCGTTGGGTCATGAAATTTTCCAGGGTCCTGTGGTCAGTATATACCATGAATGGGGTACCTAGTAGTTCTACACGCCACTTCTTGAGTGCGCGCACGATTGACAGGAGCTCTTTTTCGTGGACTGGATAATTCAGTTGCACGTCGCGAAGCTGCATGGAGTCAAAGGCCACTGGGTGTGCTGTCTCAGCAGTTGGACCAAAGCTGAGCATCCCACCAGTCCTCCAATCACTTGCGTTGCAGGTGACGAAAATCTTGTTGTCTGATGTCGTCGTGATCAATTGTTGTTAGGCAGTCGCAGCTTATTACCAGCCGTTTGATGGTGTCGAACACCTCTTGATGTTCCGACGTCCAGCCGGGCCAATGTGCATCAGCTGTCTTGGTGGTCAAAGGGGTCAGTATTCACGTGTGATCTGCCAGCTTTGGTAAGAACTGTTCTAGGTAGCGTACAAGTCCCAAAGACTGGAATTTAGCAAAATCATAGGTATCAGCAGCTTCAATATGCTTTGCACCACCACTGACTATACAGGTAGTTTCTGATGTAGCCAAAGATTAGTAGACATAAGAAAGGAACAATAAGATACAGTCACCTTGAAGGGCGGACGAAGAGCTAAAGTAGGGATTGTGGATGACCGTGCGCCACGCAGCAATCCAATTCATCCCAATCAATACATCAGAATCGAGACTAGACGTGATCTCGAACTCAATGTCGGTCGTGAGCGTGCAACCATGATAAGAAGCCGTGAGAACATCACTGAAACGGGAATCTGCCAGTGGGACCGGATGACCAAGCAAATGCGTGACTGCTGAGGTCACATAACAACATGGAGACTCAGAGTCAAACACGACAGACGACTGATAAACGAAGCCATGGTGGAGGTTAGAGATGGCGCTCCAATAAACGTTGGAGAGGAAAAAAGAGCAAAGACTGAGTGCTGGGAAAACTTGAGGCCTAGACCGATCGATCAACACAACATGTAACCATTTGAAGCGAAAACACAGCCACGGCAAGATCTGTCAAATCTACCGCAAAACGGAGAAATTAGTGAGGTATAAGACCCACTACTAAGGTAGCGGGAATTTGAGTAATTTCGGATTCAAAAATGAGTGCACCACTACTTAACATTCAGAATAATACTTATCCTTCTGAAAGATCGGTTTCAAACGCACAATTCTTCACTTAGTCAGCAATTTCTCACACTTCCTATAATTTTCTCACACATTTTCACATGTTCTGGAACATACTTTGTGACATGTCCTGACATCATATTACATAATCGGTATGTTTTGTGTCACATCTTGAACATGTTCGCTTCTATGCGAGCCTTTCAATTTTCTACTCAAGCCTCTCATTTTTCACAATACTTAGAGGAAAGACTGAAAGACTTCATACCTCATTACATAATCGGACTCATGTGATTTGGTGACACAAACTATGCAGACTTCATTATGACAAATATGCAAGACCAACACTATGGTATTTAACAAGTTAACATTAGACTGCAAGAATTTCAACAAAGTTTGAACACAGCTTTGGAGTACAGCATTCAGGCAGTGCAGAGGCAGTGTACACAGCTTGCTAGCACAGGTTAGCATAGCCACAGAGCACAGCCACCAAAAAGGTTGATTTGAAAGCAATACTGGAATTTGGTAGAATAATCTGGAACA